ATGTATTAATTCTGGTTGTGCTTAATTACCTCTATCCAATTTTATGTGGTTATTGTGGATGAGCTGAATAAAGTTTGACTTATCTGACTGTTTTGTTTTGCTTAATGCGTCTTATAATTCGGTGCACCTTATTTATGAAAACAGACTCGTTCATTGATGTTGCACCTTATAGTCCGAAAAATATGGTAATCTTCTGTTATTCTGGTTATTATCCGGACCTTCTCTCACAGCTGCAGCTCAATAAAATACAAACATGGCAAAAAGGGCATGTCTCTTTTGTATTCGACATCTCTTCACCTTCCCTGGGTTCACCTTAGAACAAATTCTAGGATTTTATTGTCAACCTATAAAGTGCTTAATGGGTAGCCTTTTTCTTTTGTATTTGTCAAACCTCAACCTTTAAACTCATTTAGAAAATGTTTGCTTTTAGCTCTCCTGAGATCCAGCCTGAAGTAAAAATGAAAATGGGTATGTAAGAAAAAATAAAGAGAAACTGATAACCCCTTTAAGGAATCATTAACCCAAATATTAAAAATATTTTCATTATCTATGTTAAATAAAACCAAACTGTTATCAAAACTGTTTACACATTGGTGTCTAAATGTAAACAAGACATTGAAAGGTAACATTTAGTTGCATATTTCATAGATCATCTACTGATGACAAAATATCAAACAACTGCATAACCATACAAATCTTTAGATAACTAGGAAGACATTAAAAGATCGGTCTTAATCTTAATTTGATATAACATAATCTTCCCCTTTTTGTTTCTTCCAAAAACACAAACAAACAGATTTTCTTATGTTTTACAAATAAATCCTGTAAAGTTATCCTCTGGTTTTCCTTTGCTGTCCTTTGTGCATCTTTAAACACCATAGCCCAGATTAATATAAACAGCATGATGAAAGTAAATTACTTAATTGAAGTGAAAAGTGTTAAAACACTTTTAGGAATCTTTCTTCTCTCTTTCCCCCTTTTTTGTTCAGATCTAAAAACATTTTTAGATATGAACATTTTTCTCATAAAAATCAAAACCACAACAAAAAAACATGTAAATGTAGATGTGGCCAAATTTGCATAAAGTAAGAATTTAAAGGAACAAACCGTGTTGTTGCCCTTCTGCTCATTAAGCCTTTTGTTTCTAATAAAATCAGAATAATCATACCTTAATTCTGTATCCACTCTGGAGCTGTGCACGGTGAGAGGCGCTGAGTTGGTATCTGACTTGGTGCCTGTGTGTTGTTTTCCCCGATAGATGAGCGGATAGCTTCCCTGTGCATTTGGGTGGGGGGACGAGCTATGATGATTGTTTGTGCCTACGTGCCAAAGAGCAGTTCAGAGTATTCGGCCTTCTTGGAGTCCTTAGTGGGGGTACTGGAAGGTGCTCCAGCTGGGGACTCCTTTATTCTGCTGGGGGACTTCAATGACCACAAGGGTAATGACAGTGTGACCTGGAGGGGTGTGATTGGGAGGAACGGCCTCTCTGATCTAAACTTGAACAGTGTTCTGTTGTTGGACTTCTGTGCTAGTCATAGTTTGTCCATCACGAACACCATGTTCAAACATAAGGGTGTTCATAACTGCACTTAGCACTAGGAAATATTTAGGTTCTACAATTGCGCCGCACAAGGTGGCTGCATGGTGGAACAGCTCTGTTACTTTCATTCTGAGATTTTGCTTTTGGAAACTTTAATTCTTTTTCTGGATGTAAATCACATTTTTTGGATGATTGTTTCCTCTGGTATCGGATGCTGTGCAGCTGGAAGGATTGTTTCTGAAACTTTTTTAGTGTTGTTCATTTGTTATGATGTGCAACCATGGCAATGAGGCAGTTTTCTACAACCAACAGCAGCTGATTAACATCTCAAAAGCTCAAATATCTCAACTACAGCCCCAAATCTCAAATGAGTTGAAAGGATGTTCTTTGGACGCATTCTCATCTACCTGACAGCTGTGCTCTAGTGCCTGACCACTGAGATCCTGGAACTAGCAGGAAACACGGCTCATGACAGCGGAAGGACAGAATCGTCCCTTGGCACCTACAGTTGGCTGTCCGCAGCGACGAGGAGCTCAGCAGACTGCTGGAAGGAGTGGCCATCACTCTGGGAGGAGTTCTGCCCGCCATTAGGGCAGTCCTACAGCCTGGGAGAACCGAGAGGCCAGCCGAGTCTGGGTGGACGGATCGGACGGCATGTGCAGCTAGTTTCTTAGGATCCACTGTGGGATGGAACTTTACAAGAGATCCTTCCTGCCTACAGCCATCAGTATCTATAACATCTCTTAATGAAATGAGGATAACGAGTTACAACAACAAATAATTTCCCTTTGGGATTAATAAAGTATTTTTGAATTTAATTTAATTGAAGCCCTAGGTTGTAGATCAGTGATTGACTTTGTACTTGTGTCATCTGATTTGCGGCATTTTGTTTTGGACACTCAGGTGAATAGAGGAGCTGAGTTGTCAACTGATCACTACCTGGTAGTGAGTTAGATCAGATGGCGGTGGAAGATGCTAGGCAGACCCGGTAGACCTAAACGTGTAGTGAGGGTTTGCTGAGAATGCCTGGCAGAAGAACTCATCAGATAGATCTTCAACTCTCACCTCCAGGAGAGCTTTAACCGCATCCCAGCTGAGGTGGGGGAAATTGATTCAGAGTGGGCCATGTTCTGTGACTCCATTGTTGAAGTGTCTGCCTTGAGCTGTGGCTGCAAGGTTGTCGGTGCTTCTCGTGGTGGCCATCCTCAAACTCGGTGGTGGACTCCCTGTGTTAGGGAGGCTGTCAAGCTGAAGGAGTCCTATTGGGCCTTGTCGATTGGTGAGGCTCTGGAGGTAGCTGGAGTACCGGAGGGCCAAGCAGTCCACAGCCTTGGCTGTTGCTGCAGCAAAAGCTCAGATGTGGGAAGAGTTCGGTAAGGCCTTGGATAGAGACCCTTGTCTGCTCCAAGGAGATTCTGGCAAACCATCAGGCGGCTGAGGAGGGGAAAGCAGCACTTTACTAATACTGTGTTCAGTGAAGGTGGGGTGCTGTTGACCTCAACCAGTGATTAGTCAGAAGGTGGAAGGAATACTTCTTGGACCTTTTCAGTCCCACTGGCACGTCTTCCATGGAGGAAGCTGAGTCAGGGGACTTTGGGGTTGGTCTGTCCAAAATTGTGGCTGAGGTCGCCAAGGTAGTTTAAAAGCTCTGTGGTGGCAGGATTTTAGGGGTGGATGAGATTCACCCTGATTTCCTTAAGGCTCTGGATGTTGTGGGACTGTCTTGTTTGACATGCCTCTGCAACATCGTGTAGACATTGGGGGAAGTGCCACTGGATGGTGTTCTCCAATTACAGGGACATCACTCTTCTTAGCCTCCCTGGTAAGGTCTATTGAAGAGTATTGGTGAAGCGAGCCCGATCGTTGGTCGAACCTCAGATCCAGGAGGAACAATGCGGGTTCCGTCCTGTCCGTGGAACATTGGACAAGCTCTTTATCCTCACTAGGGTCCTTGAGGGGTCATGGAAGTTTGCCCATAGTCTACATGTAGACTTGAAGAAGGCGTTTGACCATGTTCCTCGGGGTACACTATGGGGGGTGCTCCATGAGTATGGGATTGGGTGGAGTACGGTTCGAGAGTTTGGTTCGCATTGTTGGCAGTAAATCGGACCACTTTAGGGTGGGAGTTGGACACCTCCAGGGCTGCTCGTTGTCACAGATTCTGTTCGTAACTTTTATGGGCAGAATTTCTTGGAGCAGCCACGGGGAGGAGAGAGTCCAGTTTGGCGGCCTCAGGATTCCTTCTCAGCTATTTGAGGATGATGTGGTTCTGTTGGCATGACCCTCAGCTCTCGCTGAAGTGGTTTGCAGCAGAGTGTGAAGCGGCTGGGATGAGAATCAGCACTTCCAAATCTGAGGTCTCAGCCAGAAAAGGGTGGATTGCTCTCTTCGGTTCGAGGGTGAGGTTCTGTCTCAAGTGGAGGAGTTCAAGTATCTCGAGGTTTTGATCATGAGTGAGGGAATAATGGAGCGTGCGATTGACAGAGGGATTGGCGTAGCATCTGCAGTACTGCGAACTCTGTACCAGTCCGTTGTGGTGAAAAGGGAGCTGAGCTGTAAGGCAAAGCTCTCTGTTTACCAGTCGGTCTACATTCCTGCCCTCACCTGCAGCCATGAACTCAGGGTAGTGACCGAAAGAATGAGATTACGGATACAGGTGGTTTAAATGAGTCTTGTCTGCAGGGTAGCTGGCCTCTCCTTTAGAGATAGGGTGAGAAATTCAGTTTTCCAGGACAGACGCAGAGTAGAACCGCTGCTCCTCCACATAGAGAAGTGCCAGTTGAGGTGGTTTGTACATCTGGTAAGGATGCTCCCATGGCACCTCCCTAGGGAGGTGCTTCAGTCATATCTGACTGGGATGAGACCCCGGGGAAGACCATGACACGCTGGAGAGACTATGTCTCTCGGTTGATCTGGGAACGCCTTGGAGTCCTCCCAGAAGAGCTAGAAGAGGTGGCTATGGAAAGAGATATCTGGGTCTCCCTGTTCAAGCTGCTGGCCCCACGACCCCACTTCGGAACAAGCAGAAGATAATGGATGGATAGATGGAAAACCTGAGGCTCAACACTAGATAAGTCATCAAAAACACATCAATAAATCAAAAACTACAAAACTGAATGTCAAAATATTTTTTTTGATTTATTGTTTCAATATTTGTCATGAAAAGATTTATGATAATGAGGGTTTTCTTCAACTTTTTTTTTGTTGCTATTTTTAGATTTCGGAAAGGTTTTCTGAAAAGTCTTTGTTTTCTGTATTGTTGATGTGTATTTTTTTATTATGCTTTACTTCTCAGAACCACTCGTGTACACATGTAGCTGTGACTCATTTACAGTGCTCTGCTCAGTCGAAGATAACATGTTCATGAGACGGTAATGCTCATCGTACATTAGCAACAACGCCACAAGAGCTGTTAGATTAGAAATTCATTAAAAAAATAAAAAGTCACTCTTTGAGGCATGTTTAAATGTATGTATGAAAATAAATGAAAAAAAAAACTGCAACGTCAACATCACTGATTACGTTTGAGGTATCACAAGGTATTTTTGGCTATTGCGTTTAGACTCCGGACTTTGCTCACATCTGCCACCTTCAGGTCGTACTCGGGTGCTGACAACATGGCTCCCATCGTCACACATGTGTTCCTGCACATGAAAAAAGTATTTAAGAGTTTAAGCTTAATAAAATAATTTTTACTTATCTATTTTAAGTGTAGGAAATAGCTTTTATGTTATTTAAAGCTGGTTTCAAAACAAACCTGAATTTCATTGCAGAGTCTCGGCTGGAGCGAGCTGAGCAGTGAAACTCTTCGGCTCCTGACCCTTCTAGTATTCTCTGCAGGTTTCGCTCTGTGATGCCCCCTCCTAATTTTAAAAACAGAAATAAATATATATAAAAAACAAAAACACACAAATGAAAGTACATAAAAAATAAAAACACTAACCTGGCATAACAATTATTCTTCCTTTGGCCTGTTGAGGAGAAACTACAATGTTAGAAAGTCAATACAGAACATATTGTATCTTGCAGAAATGTATTAAATCAAAAATAAGTACAAAAGATGTACGTGTAAAAATACTTGTATGCTTGTTGCTATTATGTTATACGTACTTGATCAATGAGGCGTTTAATGACATGTAGCCCCTCTAAAGCCGAGCTATCGCAGCCACTTGTCAACACGCGCTCGAACCCTAAAGTTATTAGAGTCTCCAGAGCAACTGCTGGGTCGTGGACCATGTCAAAAGCTGCAGACAGATCAATTTAACATTGACAAAAGAACCTCAGACTCAGAGTAAAATCTTTATAAGAGCATTTTTTCAGAGACACTGATAAAAGCAATTCTACAGCATTGACTGCTGGGGATCTGTGACATTTTTCAGATGTTATTACTAGCAGCTGTAGATTATTTAGAAAAACTACTTGTTTTAAATGGAAAAAAAAAATTACCTCGGTGGAAGGTCACAGGCAGAGGACGAGCAGCAGCTGAAGAACAAAAAGAAGTAAACAAATGTTTTTAACTGTTTCACTTTTTTTTAAATTATTTATTTTGTAGATTGCATACTGATGAATTTATCTGTTTATAGTGTGCATTGTTAATTATTAACACAAAACTAAAAAGCAGTCACATGCAAATGTGAAGACAGTGATTCAGGAGCAAGCTTTTAAACCTCAATTTGTAAAAAGTTTATGAAGAACTTCACTAATAAGCAACTATAACTCTATATATGTACAGAGCTGTTGAAAAAAAGCAGAGGGAATTATCAAGGACTCACTCCATCCAGCTCACTCTCTACTCAGTTGCAAAAAATGTTCATATACCAGTAACTTGAGACACAGTAGAGCAGACAGTATCATCACCCATAGTTCAAAGTTTTTAATAGTTTTTTCCCTGCCACAGTGAGACAGATGGGCAAAAATAACCTACTGAACAGGTGCAATAATAACCCTACACTACCTAACTTCACTTGTCATGTGACTAGAGAAGGTGTAGATATCATCACTCTGTACAGTGTAGATATAATTTACTTTATTCTTATTTTATCATTTAGAGTTGAGTGTTTTGACTATGGCGCAGATAGCTCTGCACAAGAATTATAATTGGCCTGGATTGTTGGTCTTATGCACAAATGGCAAATAAAGTACTTCGTATCTTTTTGTAGATATAATAGTTTGGATCTTTACAGAGCATCAGGTCTTGGTCACAAACAGCATCAACAAGCAGTCAACAGGAAAAGCATTAGGCTATGTAAATGACAAAAAAAACTAAGATTTTACTGTTCAATAATTCAAATTATTACTTTTTTGCTGCTTAGATGCTTTATAAATAAGGTGTCATGTTCCAAAGACTGCACAAACTAGAGGATTTAAAATATGTTCAAACTAAACCTGAAAGAAATTAAACGGCTACTTTGATCAGACCGCTTTTGTATAATTTTAAATAACAATATCAATTCTTTTTGATGGACTTTCAGCTCTTATATCTCACTTGTTAAGTGATTCTTCCACAGTGGACTTTAGTTGGAGTACATCTCAGATAGGATTAAGTCAAATGATCTACTCATTCCCAACATTTTGCCATGCTGCCTTTGTGACCAGTGTCATCAGCAATAAACATCATGTGAACGGAAGCTTCACCATGTTAGGCAGATAAGATTGTGCCTTTTGAGTCTTTTTCCCATTTAGTCTGTGATAGTTACAGCTGTTGCCTCTCTGTGTGAAGGTCTTGAATTGCCTCCCAGTCTGGGGCCTTTCTAGGTGGAGTTTGCATGTTCTTCTTCTGCATACATGGGCTTTCTCCTGGAACTCTAGTGTCCTACACATTGACTAAAAACATGTATATTAGGTTAAGTGGCCACTCTAAATTGGTCCTAGGTGTAGGTGAGAGTATGAATGGTTTGTCTCATCTTTTTCATGCTTGATTTTGTGAAACTGCATATCATGAAGAGAATACTTGCTACCGTGTTTCACAGTTCAGATTAAATTTACAGATAAATAATACCCAGTAGCTCCATGCAGAGCTCTGCATCCACTCGTCCATCTTCTGTCAGGGCACCCAGAACCAAGCCATCAGCTCCTTCGTTCTTTATCAGCTCTATGTCTTTCCTCATCACCTCCACCTCCTGATCCAAATAAAGGAAGTCCCCTCCACGAGGCCGTATCATCACATAGACTGGGATTTTGCTGTACTGCTTTACAACGTGCAGAAGACCTGCAGTAAAAGAAATGGGGGTCAGAAGATTATCCGTCTAAATGGGCCAAAGAGCTTCCGCAGTCAGTCTGCACAGAGGTGAACTGTGTTGATCACCTAGACTGGGGGTGAGCCCTCCCTCCAGAAGACTTGAACAAAGTTCAAGCCGACTTGCACCTGTCAGGACAGAAAACACTAAAACGTTAAATATTATAATTCTATGAGCTCAGTACAATTGCTGTCATGTGTAAAATACCACTTAAATAGTGCCAGATAAGTGCAACTTTGGCTTGATCATACTTTCAATAGGTGTCTGTGCATCAAGTCTTCAACAAGTCATTTAAATTGGGCCAAAACAAAAATGCAGAGAAGCTTGCTCTACACTTTTACTGACCTCCTCTCTCAGCATTCACAGCAGACTCCACGGAGTCCACACACACCTCCATTAAAAAGCTCTGTGCCATTCTGAACGCCTGAGCAGAGAAAGAAATACAAAGATTTTCAATATCAACTTCTTAGCCAACATCTCTTCGTAATCTTTCAGTTAACATTTTTTAACTTCTACCGGCACAACTACCTGCCAGTTCGTTGTTTTTTTGTTGTGTTGTTGTTGTTTTTTTAAGTGTTTTGAAGGAACTCACGACATGTGAGAACCACTAGCTCCTACTTACAGCCAGTCACCACTAGAATGAATCGAGCCCGTTTCCGGCTGGATTGTTCAATCATAATATCGTGCTCCGGAAGAGGGGCGGTAAAATGATTATATATAAAGTAGAATGTGACCGCCTATGCGGGGTACGCTAACATTCTAAACGGGCATCCATGTTCCTGCTAGTTACGAAACAATTGACCAAAACAATAAATAAAATACATTTAATAAATAATTATAAGTTTTATTGACAACGTTTTTTATTTAGACAAAATTAAAATCTCAACTCCGCATTTATTTTTTTATATGACGTCAAAAGGTCAAAGTTGAACCGTTCTAACGCCGGGTAACAACAGAGGCTATCTTCAATTTCCACATGAATTGCAGTTAGATGTAAGCTCTAGTAGACATTGAGACAGAAAGATGTTGTTAACATCGTTACGTACAACCATTTTATGCGGCTGCAGATGTGCTGGCAAGAGGTTTCAACACAGCAGCGTGAGTAGAGCTAACTTTAGCTACTAGCTACCAGGCTAGCATGTTATGAAAACTCAACAAGAGGCACATGTAAAAAAACATTAGCCAAAATAAATATTTGTTTCACTTTTGTAGCTTGCAGCCTTTATTTAGGGTCGTGTAGTTAAAGAACATTAGTTATGTGACCATGAAAATAGTTTATCTGCATCTTTCTAATAGCTAAAGACATAACTGACCTCTAGCCTTCTTTTCGTTTACTACAAGTACAACTACAACTTGAAATTGTATTAGTTTAGTTATAGAAGTGGCATAACTATGATCTATTTGATCCTAATTTAAATGAATATTACATTAGTATTACACATTTATTCTGAAAGCTGAAGGTATAACCTGCGAATTTGCCTACAGTTTTGTCCAAAACTGCTGACTTTTTACTGAAATTAAAGGCTTTTTTGTATCTTTTAGATATGATAAATAGCCAAATCATGGTGGATTTTGTCTAAATGTGTACATTTCCTGTTTACGTCATCAAACATTTGAAGATGGGGTGTGAGAGATTAGTGCAGCTTAATTTTTTTAATGTAATTTGAAGAGTTCATTTGACCTTTTATTTAAAATTTTGGTTGACGGGTACAGATATAATAACACAATAAGGAGCACATGGCCTTTATATGTCTTATTGTTTTACTTATTCACGCTAAATTACCACACACACTCAGACATGTTCTCCTCCTTTTGCCCTTCTTTGTCCTTGGGATGGTTAAGTAATTAAATGTGCAAGTGCTGCTTATGAATTCGTACAACAAGCACGTTTATTCACTTGAGCTTATGTGATATCACCTGTACTGTGTTGTTGTGGTTTTTTAATGTTTGACACTTTTAACACATTAAATAGAAATTGCAAAAAACTGTTGATTTTGAGCAAGTTTCTAGAAATCATTATCCAAACCATGCTGTTGAGATTCACACAAAAGAAAAGTAAACCTTTGTATGCACTAACTGCTAAAAATACTGATAAATAACAACAATGCACATTTATGACAAGTTAGTACATAAGCAAACAATGTAAATATACATTTAAAAAAAGGTCTGCTGTGGTTTATTCATCATCTGAATGTTTGAAAAAGGAATGCATGACATTGCATGATTATTAGAAGAGCAGAGAATCTGTTAATGTTGGCTGAGATCACAGTAGTGTGTAGAAAGTATAAACACATTTCTTAAAGAAAACATTCAGTGGAGTTACCCTTTAAATAAAATATCCCTTAGGTATAAATGAATTGTTGGTTTTGTTAAGGGTGATATGATTACAAAAGCACGTCTCTGTTTACACAAATTCTTCACGATTATTTAAAATACGAGCCTAAGTTTCAGGCGTTAAAAATGTCCTGAACTTTTTGAGTCATGTCAAAACATTTTGTTTGGACGTTCTGACATGCATGTTTTTAAGAAGTCAAAAAGGAAAGTGTTCAACAGAAAGGTGAAAAAAACAACACCTTTGGAGTAGATCTGAGTGAGTGACTGGCACTTACTGTGTTCATGATGTACCAGGAAGGAGCAAGTGTTTCAAAGTTTTTTCTTGATTTCTGTACAAAAATATTTCCTCCAAATATTGAAACTCTGCTCCTGGAAGCACATATCTGTTTACAATGTCACTGCATGCTGTTACAACTCTGTCGTGAAGGTAAAATACGTCTTCAAATAATAATATACGGTCTTTTTGAAGCTATTCGCTTATCATTCTTTCAAGTTCTCTCTTTATTCATTGCTTTATAACATCAGCAAAGTCCACAGCTACGACAATGGCTTGTGAGGAGAAACTGCAGCACCTTCACTGCGGAGACAGCAGCTCCTTCCAAATCAGCAGTGACTGTCCCTAACGAAGCCACAAATCGCATAGTGGGACGCTGGTTGCTTGGCTGCAGTGGTCTGGTGGTTGGGGCCATTGTTTTGGGTGGTGTCACAAGGTAAAAGAAACTTAATAGTGGTTTGTCTGTGCATATTATTTTTTTTTCTGTATTGAGGTGATGCTGATATATAAATATTGTGCATTTGTTATAAAGGTTAACAGAGTCTGGGCTCTCCATGGTGGATTGGCATCTAGTGAAAGAGATGAAGCCACCTCAGACAGAAGAAGAGTGGCAGGCCGAGTTTTCCAAGTACCAGCAATTTCCAGAGTTTAAAATGTATGCATCTTTTTGTTTACTTCAAACGAAAAAAACATTTTATAGTTTGGAAATTAAAATGACATATTTTGAACTAAAGTTTGTAATTATGTTTTGAAATGAAAACGTGTTATTTCTTCTTTACTGATCACTCTACTGAACATACAGTGACAGCTTTGATATTTAGATGTGAATTAATAACTTTCTTTTACATAGTGCAGGTATTTGGTTGAACTTATTACCTTATTTCATACTTTTTTCCCCCAGACTGAACCATCAAATGACTCTGCCGGAGTTTAAGTTTATCTTCTACATGGAGTGGGGTCATCGCATGTGGGGCAGACTAGTTGGACTGGCGTACATCCTCCCCACCATTTACTTTTGGAGAAAAGGATATTTCAATCGTTCCATGAAGGGAAAAGTGCTTGGACTTTGTGGTTTTGTCTTCTTCCAAGTAAGTCCATGTATTTATTATTTCAAGAGCCAGCTGTATGTTTTGTTTATGTCTTTATTAAGTTATAAATTATTTTCAGTAGTTGGTAATTTGATGTCATTTAACTCTGCGTGTCTCCTCAGGGCCTTCTGGGATGGTACATGGTAAAAAGTGGGCTGGAAGAGAAGCCCGAGTCCCCTGACGTTCCTCGGGTTAGCCAGTATCGGCTAACTGCTCATCTTGGTTCTGCCTTGTTGCTCTACGTAGCCAGTCTCTGGACAGGGCTTACCATGCTGCTACCAGCACACAAGGTACAGAGGAAATCTTGTTCCTTACTTTTGAAATTTTAAGCATGTACATCGACAAACAAACACATTTTTATTAGATGTAAAAAAAAAAAAAAAAATTCCACATGATTTTCCTAAAACGTTACAGCTGGCAGAAACCAAACGTCTTATGCAGCTAAGGAGGTTTGCCAAAGGTACTGGTGGACTCGTCTTCCTAACCGCTCTTTCAGGTAATTTAAAACTTCTTAAATAAATGCAATATGATGAAGAAGCCCCTAAAATGTCTTCAGAGTTTGAACTGCTTTTAAGCACCTTTTTAAATATGCAAACAAATTTGTTTTTAAGTTAATAATTTTGAAAGTAAGATCTTGATTTTTGTAAGATCACAGTTCCACCGTTTTAACCTATCTCTAGCTCACTGCTAGTAGCAGCTTGGCATGTGAACGTCCTAAAGCCTGCAGGATTTGTCCAATGGGACACCCTAGACCAGGGCTAGTCAACTGAATTGCTCAGGGGGGCACAGTTACTGAAAACCAAGAGCTCAGGGGCCGGACATCCAGCAGTTATTGTCATTAAGTAAGTTTGTTTTATGGTTTAAAATCTAGTTTTAGTTAAAAATGAACGCATTGGTGGACCAAACTGAGCTCACCCGTGGGCCTGATTTGGCTCCTGGGCCACCAGTTGAATAGCCCTGTTCTAGAAGGTTTGCATTGTTTCCCTTCCTTTGACCCTACAAGTACCTGTTGGTGCTTGCAAGGCCAGCACTGTGAATAAGATTTGGTTCTTAGTGTTTATGTCTGGTTAAATAAAGGTAAAAATTTGTAAAATAGATGACTGTTGCAAGAAAGCTTTGTGCCTCTTCTGTAATTCATTATAGCAGTGCTAATAAAAACTAGAAACACAAATATTGTCAGTTTTGTGCGATGAGTTGAAGGATTTTTTTTTTTTATTATTGTAGAAGTTGAGACAATATGCCTTAAACAATGTAATGTTCAAATCTTAACAGAACCAGTCATTTACAAAGCAGACCTTGGTGCGTTTTCTTAGTTTAAATTACATGAATATTGTAACATCTAAATTGAGAACAGAAATCATAAACTGTGGTACTTGTGGAGCAAGTGAATTATAATACAGCAAACTTTTAAAGGGATGTTCTAGAGTAAACTGATAATTTTGACCTAGGCATAAAAATAATAGGTGTTAAGTAAAACTTGCTTAGTTTGCAAAAAAACTAAGAATTGGAATTGTAACATTAAAAAGTTAATATAACGCTTTGGTTTTAACACGTTTTTTGGTACAAATTTAGAAATCTGTATGTTTGAGTTTTATCTACTTTAATATTTATTGCGTTATCTTAAAGTTCATAATGTTATTCTGTGATGACACCGACAACTGTTTGTAACAATTAATATAATGTATTTTACCCAGGTGCCTTTGTTGCTGGTTTGGATGCTGGTTTGGTGTACAACTCCTTCCCTAAAATGGCAGACAGATGGATTCCTGATGATCTGCTTGCTTTCTCTCCCACAATTAAAAACTTCTTTGAAAATCCCACCACTGTGCAGTTTGACCACAGAATTTTGGTACGGCGTGATCGCAGAGCAGATGGCATTTTAGTATTTTAATTTAATTGAAATATCGTCAATATTTTTTTATTTTTAACCTTGCCCAGTAAATTGGTGCTCAAATAGTTTGACGTAAATATTTGTTGTTCTATATTTTTTTAGGGTATCACTTCTTTGGCAGCAATTACAGGCCTCTATTTGTTCTCACGGAGGATGATGCTACCTAAAAGGGCAAAGGTTGCCGTCAGCCTCCTTGCAGCAATGGCCTATACTCAGGTAAGCTTTCAGATAGAAACATGCAGTCACATGGGTACAATAAAGTTTAGTGTAACTAAAGTCCATCTTTTCTGTTGTTTAGGTTGTTCTTGGGATCTGCACACTGTTACTGTATGTCCCCACGCCACTGGCAGCAACTCACCAGTCTGGTTCGGTGGCTCTTCTGTCACTCGCCATTTGGGTTCTTGCAGAGCTGCGTAAAATGCCCAAGTAAAACGCCTCCTGCGTTACGAACACACACTTTTTTTTTTTTACCACACTGTAAGCCTGTCTGCACTGTCAAATAAGACAAAAATAAAGACATTTTCTTCATGGATGGATTTATACTTGTACTATAAATTATAGTATATTTGTATTTATTATTTAATTTTCAGTTCTAAACATAGATGACTTACTGAATTAATTTTGAAAACGTCATCAGAAAGTGTCAAGTTGAGTTTAGAAGTTTTTGCTTTTCCAGCTTGAAAATGTTTTCAGTCTGGTAAATTTTTGCATACCATTTTTTTCTATTCTTGTTTTTTTCTACATTGTTTACAAAATGTTCTCTAGTTGAAACGTGGTAGTTTCAGTTTAGAAAATCCTCTTTTGCCTTTGTGTCTGGACAAACACATTCTTTTAGGAAAAACAAACTTTTTTTTTTTATCATGTCCTGATGCATGCTCAATAATCCAGGTAGAAAAATCTAAAAAAGTTAAATCTGGTCCTCTGGACATTCAAAAAGCAAACAAAGTTGTTGAAAAAGTTGTTTTGCTTTTTGAATGTCCAGAGGACCAGATTGAACTTTTTAAAATTTTTTATCATGGTATTATTAAACATACTTAATGTTAATAATGTTAATAATTTAAAATCCATATCTTGTTAAAACTTTGATTGCAATTTAAGATGGATTTGGAAAGTTGTCTTACCCTTCCATAATTATGAATTAAACTCCAATCTTTGAACTTGAATGGAATTTGTGATGTTTTGTTCTTACTTTTGTAATTTACTTATGGTTATAGTTGCCTCTACTGAATGTTTTCGGGAGTGTTTGTATCTCAACTGAAGCCCAATTGTGACAAACCAAATACTTTTGACTTAACGTATTGCCTTACAGATGATAGTGTACAGTACCAGTAAACCATTTGTACACACCCAAATTATTTATTTTCAGTAATGAGGTGTGTCCAATTTGTTTTTACAGTTGCTGTGTCAGTACGACAGCTGTTCATAGACCTGTTGAGATGCAGAGTCAGGCTGAGCTTTAAAGAATAATACAATAATCTAATATATCTGAACGGTACAGTTGATTAGATGACCCGCTTGGTCTGACCACTTAAGACCAGATGCTCTTGGTTAAGAAAACAACAAAGAAACAACTCACTATTACAATGCCCGTTACAATTATTTGATGGAGAAGGGAGAACAATCTACCAAAAGTTTTCTTGGAGGATTGAATGATCAGAAAAACCCTTTCATGACTAATATAAAGACCTACTGAAAATTCATCTCTTGAATGACTATGGGTATGAGTAATAAACTATTTTAAGATAAAATGAATAAATTTGCGCTAATTCCTAACAGAGCAAGCTAATATGGGGATAGTTCAGATTGAGACACGACTGTAGAAATATAAAACCTTTTCCGAACCATTTTGAATTACGTACAATTTGGGTCTTAATGGTAAAAATAAGAAAAAAAAAAACTAGAAACATTCCTTTAAATGTGACAAAAAAATTAGCATTCTGCTTCCAATTTTTTTCCAGAGGAGACAATAATGCACAGTCTTTCAAATTTCAGCCCATTTTGCATAGTAGATGTGATTTTATTGTCTCTGTACAAAATATACACATTTTAAATATGTAATGCAACCAGAGGGTACCTAACTAGACAGTCAGTACAACATTTTAGTACGTTTTCATTGTTCCAGACACAGCACATGCGGGTTTAGACAGGTTTCACTTGTGGTAAAGAAATGGAACTAAAAAAAAAAAAAAGCACGAGACGTGATTTTTCTAGTTTTTCTAAGAAAATAAGAAATTGGTTTGAAAGACATTTTCACAAACAAAACGATAAAAACAATGAAAAATCTCAGTGCACCCCTACTCTGTGCTTCGAGGGGAATGAAAACGAGGTGAAGGATGCTATGGTAGTGAACTTTATTGCTATTCCTTGTTAGTCTGCTTTAAATTTAATAATGGTCTGAGTGCCTCTGGTTCAACATTTAAGAGTTTGGAGAAATTGTGGCAGTATGAGACGAAAGTGACTGCATATTTCTGTAAAATAAATAACATTCTGAGCTAAACATGCAGATTTACAACCTTGAATTGCATTTCTAACAGTGTACGCAAACTTCATACCGATAGTTTTCACCCCGCTGATAATCCTCTTTTTCCCTCACCTATAGGTGCGCTGTATGTCTTTATTTTTGTATGTTCCTCTTTTATTATCTTCTCTTTGGTGTTATAGAAAGAGGAATAATTGGAAGTGGGTAACGTGGGAAGCTATGAGAAAGAAAACCTTCCGGTGTTCCACATGACACATTTGATATGCTTCATGGAAATTTAGTTAGCCTAATTTAATGAATAGAGGGTTTTGAGATTCTATTTTTGAAGTGGTAGAACCTGCTACAACCGCGTGACATCTCAGGTTACAATAAGTTCACATATACAGTCTGAAATCTAAAACATTTCCCTTTGATGTGGGCTGATAGACCAGTACAACTGTGGTATTCCAGTTTCATGATGAATGGTAAAGAGCTTGTAAACTAAAGTGCAATTCCCACATTGCGCTGGCTATTATCACACCACAGGGAAGGCTATTACAACAGTCATCAGACAACTACTGTTAGGACTGTAATAGTTTGGAAGGTCAGAAACGTTTCTACCAGAACCCTATGAATGGAGGAATGACCCTCTAGGGTCTTACCTGTAACATAGAAAGCATGTTTTTTTGGTACACATGCACACACATACACAAAGGGTGAGGCACCTGTGAATGACTACAGCCGACAGACAAGCAGACTTTGGAGTATCTCTTTAAATACATAATTAGATATTAGTGACATCATCATGCGATACTGAAATCAGTTCCTCATGAAAAACAAAAGCTTTAGGCCTCATTCTGTGATACAGGATCGCTTGGATCTTCCATTTGTTGGTTGCTCCCCTCAGAAAGTGTCTTTATTCCCTCTTCTGTCCCCTAGATGGCTGTAGACTCATTTCTACCTTTACGGCTGGATCCATCGAGGTGTTCCGACGTGCACAGAGGCAGGGCGATCAAAAATTCAGATTTCAAACATAATACGCAAAAGGAGAAAAAGTGGTTTTAGAGGTTTATGGGCTTTTTCTTTCCTCTGATTTTGGCCTCTACAGGCTGTGAAAGTTCATTCAGTATCAGTAATATCAGTAAGAAATAACAGTTAAAGTAAAATTGGTGGTGGTGGTGGGGGTGCATTAGGCATGTCAGTTGCTGTGAGCCCACTGTTAGCCATCATTGTCTTTGTCAGGGATAAAACTTGGAGTCAGGATTCTCCATTGTTGCTTGAAGGAATGCCACTGAGGGTCCAGGAGAAGGGAGGGGGGGCCTCTCTGCATCACCAAGGTTCACAGCTCTACAGTGACACAAGCCCAAGCTTGTATATAACTCGACCGCACACACATTCGTACACTCAAACTTCCTCTTGTCTCTTCAGTCCTGTTCATCATTCACAAACACACTCCCCTCCCTGGCGCCAGTGTCCTCACTGGTCCAGATCCTTAGATAACGTTGTCAAACAGCTGCATAGATTGCATGATGTTCTCGTCCTGGACAGAGACAGTTGAAGAAGATGAGATTATTTCCGCTTAGTTTAACTTAAATGGTTCAAAATGAGGACAGTGAGACTGAAAGTTATGTTTTTATTATTTATAATAATTTGAAGATCGATTGCACTCAGAGACAGATGTTAGCTTAGCATAAAGAGAGGGAACAGCTAGACGGGGGGAATTTAAAGTTTAGAAATCTGAGCAATACAAATGTATGTACCAGTGCAAAAATGTGAGTATTTTGTGATTAGAGACATGTTTTTCCTCTGACATACAATTTGTATGCTATGCTAAGATAATAATCGATTGATTCTTTATGCATGTGGCAAAAATAATCCAATCTAGCAAATTCCACAACGTATTGAAAGAGTTTAAACTCGTCTATATTCTCCCCTACCTTTTTACACGAATCAATAAACTCATCTATGGTGACCACCCCATCTTTATTCTGGTCCATTTTCTGAAAGAAAAACAGCAGAAAGATTTATTTACTATTATATTTTTACCAATATTAAAAATGATGGAACAGGTTGGTAACAATGGGTGAGTTTGACCTGGAAAAAAGTTTCTACATGTTCTCTTGGCGCATCGTCCTGCATGGTGGGGTATGTGTATTTCCCCATCATGTCATAGATGGACCTCATTATGTCAAGCATCTCCTGTAAAGTACACGGCAAACAGGAAGTGGAGAAAAGTATTTGTTTATTACTTTGGCAAATGTATTCCATTGTATAACCATTAGACATCCTGGAGCCAGTTGTAAATATCCAAACAATGTCAAATTAAAGGCTTGTTAATCCTTGAAGGAATGCTTATCACCCACCTCCTTACAGCTTTAGACCAAGTTGAGAAATGACAAAGCTGTTTTGGTCAACCTTTATAATTTAAATGTATATAAATATATATAATATACATATATAGTACATATAAAAATGCAATGTATAAACATTTGCACCCAATTAAATGCAAAATTGCAAGATGTCATGCTCAGAGTATGTGTTGCTAATGAATCTCAGTTACTACCACATCAAACTCTCAGTATCCATGCAGTGGATCAATATAACCATTCTAGTGTTGACTAGGACTTGGACATCTTTTGTCTTCACTCTATCTGCTCCCTTTGGGGCCTATCCTGAGGAAACATGGTCTTTCATTTCACTGTTATGCTGATGACTGTCAGATTTATCTGCCCTTAAAACCCAACAGTTCTTGCTCCATTCACACTCTGTTAAAATGTCTTGATGACATCAAGTCATGGATGGCATCAAATTTCACAAGTTTTAATGATCTGAAGTCTTTCTGTTTATCCCTAGCTCTACTGCTGTCTCTGATCCTGTGAATCTGAACTCTCTTCAACCATATCTTAAGCAGTCTGCTACAAATCTCAGTTTGGTTTTAGACTCTGACTTTAGGTTTAATAAACAGATCAACTCTGTTCTATAAAAAAAAGCTTCTTCCAGTTAAGGCAAATAGCTAAACTTAAGTCTGTGTTGACCAGATCCGCCCTTGACAAAAATAGTCCATGCGTTCGGTACAACCAGGCTAGACTATTGTAATGCACTTTATGTTGAGGTCAGTCAGAGCTCCCTTTCATGTCTCCAGCTCGTCTAAAATGCTGCAGCTCGGCCATTAACAGGAACTCGTAGGTTTGAGCAACATTTCACCAGTTTTGTCCTCCCTTCACTGGCTCCCTGTACAGAATTGATTTTAAAATTCTCCTGTTGACCTTTAAGTGCATTAATGGCCTTCAATGACCCTCATACCTCTCTGACTTACTTCAACCATACGTTCCTTCTCGGGTGCTGAGATCATCTGACCAGCTGCTTTTGGTTGTACCAAAAACCAGGTTGAAGCTCAGAGGAGATCAGGCTTTTTCAGTCGTGGGCACTAAATTCTAGAACAATCTGTCCCCCCCATCATTAGACAGGCCACTTCACTCCCTGCTTTTAAATTTCTCCTAAAACCACCCCTATTTTCACTGATGTTTAACGCAGCGTGTTTTGATTTCATTGTTTCTCGTTTTTGTGTTTTTATTTTTAATGCTTTTAATTACTTATTAGTATTTTTCCTTAATTACTGCCTTGATCTTGTTGTTAAGCACTTTGGTAACAGCTGCTGTTTTAAATGTGCTTTATAAAGAAATTTTACTTTGACTAATGTTAATTAGCTTTGGTGGCCATCTTGAAAAGGATGGACTCCAAAAGTTAACATCTGTCCAGTGGTTCACAAGACATTTCACTATCAGACAATCTGGATTGACCCCAGCAGTCAATACTAAAGTTTCAGTATTTTGACAACAGTTGCTAATATTCAAAGTAAAATCAACATATGATTTAAAGATGTGTTTACAGATCAGGTAAAGGATAATGTGATGCAAAACCACCACTTTAGGGCTTGACATGCTGAGTGCAGATCTGTTGAGGATGCCAGTGTTTTACCTCTTTGGTGATGCAGCCATCTTTGTTTAGGTCATAGAGGTTAAACGCCCAGTTTAGTCGGTCATTAACTGTCCCTCTCAGGATGATGGACAAACCAAAAACAAAATCCTGAAATAAAAAGCAGCATAATTTTATTAATGCTTTTGTCCTGAGACAGGAAATGAAGTCAAATGTTTCTTCTGTGAGCAGGTATTTAGGTATATAATAAATCTTTCTGCGGATGAAGATGGAAGCGTCATGAAAGATGATATTTGCTTTTATCTCTTTTAAAGAAGTAAAATTAGAGCTCACCTCAAAACTAACAGAGCCATTCTTGTTTGTGTCGAAGGCTTCAAACAGGAAGTGTGCATACATACCCGAATCTGCAACAGTAAAGACTTTCAGTTACCCACCAGCCCCTGAAACACGAAGTCTTAGAACCGTTAGGATTAGCTGTGATCTAAATATAGACTAGATTTAAAAATAATTTCAAATACAACTGGAGGCAAGTGGTTAACATTTTATCAAACTAAATATCATACAATGAAAAATTGCTTCTCTGCAGAGCACATTCCAAGATTTATCAGAGTGGAAAAGAATGAGTTAATTACAGTGTGTTCATTTTATTATGATGATAAAATGCCATACTTCTACAGTCAGGATAGTATTTGACCCTTTTGTTCACATTTATTCATTAAAGATACAAATAAAATATAATATGAATATAGATTTTGTTAAACGTACCTCCCTGAGGGAAGAACTGGGAGTAGATTTGCTTAAAGTTCTCCTCGTTCACCACTCCACTTGGACACTCCTGGAGCAAAAACAGGGAACTGAGACAGCTTTCCGATTCCCATTTAGCAGAGAGCAGGGAAAGGATGGTGCAGACTTACATTTTTGAAGCCCCTGTAGAGAACTTGCAGCTCCTTCTTGGTGAACTTCGTCTGCTCCTGCAGCTTGTCCATGCTTTCAGGGCGATGGCACACCGTGGATAACTCAAAGTCATCTTCTATACTGTCTGTGATGGACAGGAATGTGTTAGTCACTGTTGCTTTGCCACCCCTGATGGAGATGCTAAAGTTATTTAACCAAAGATTTTGGATAATAAAATCCAGCATGTCTGGAACACAATGTTAAATTCATGAAATTTTCAGAGCTTTCTATATTTCTGTAGGAATATGACCCAAAACACTGATTTTTTCAAAGGTACGAAAATAACCATATACTTTACTTATTGAGGAAATCATCCACCCTTGAGGGGGCGGTAAAATGAATTTCTAGGATTAGCAGCTGAAGTTGAAATTGTTGACATTGAGAGTGCAGTCAGGGATCCAGGGAATGCCTGCCCTTTAAGAATGTATTTTGAAGCCCATTGGGTTTTCTAATTCAATGGTTCCCAACCCAGGTCCTTGAGGAACACCATCCTGCATGTTTTAGTTGTTTCCCTTCTCAAACACACCTGATTCAGTGATTTAATTACTTCCTTGTGTTCTGTAGAAGCCTGTAAATCACGCATTTATTAAAATCAGGTGTGTCAGAGCAGAGAAACAACTAAAACATGCAGAATGGTGTTCCTCGAGGACCAGGGTTGGGAACCCCTGCTCTAAATAGTTTCAGAATAATTCAGAAGTAAAGTTGTTGACAATTATTGGCTTGAAGATACTGGAGTTTGGACTTTAACCAACTGTGTTTAAATAGATAATGCTCAAGTCACAATTTATTGATTGTGAAGAACACTTTGAAATCAGAGGATGTTTAAGTTTCTGAGGTTACCACAGGTCTCAAAGATTTTTTTTTTTTAACCTTCAGTCACAATGACAATGTCAATGAGTCCACTACCAGCAGAACCCACAACAATGAGGTGCAAATTGTAGCTGTATATGTAAACTAAGTAACAAATTCTAATATTTGTCAAAATTATGTTCTCTTTAGGACTTGTCTTAATGTGGTAAAATTTGGGTCAAATCAATGCAAAAATACAAAACATTTTGCAGAGTTGATACATTTTCAAGAAGTCCTTAACACAGAATAAAACAATATGTATCATATCACGTTTTTTGTTAGTTTCTGTTAGTTTTCTGTTGTACAGCTTCCACTAAAGCCACAAAACGAACTACTTCTTATCTCTGACCTCCAAAGATCTAAATAATCCTAAAAGATTCTGGAAAACCATCAACTCTCTCTCTGGCAGTTCTCATTCATCTGATCTGCCATCACAAATTCTTGTTAACTGTGTTCCTGTGTCAAATAAGCACGAGATCCTGAACTGTTTCAACAAACATTTTGTTGCTTGAGTTCCTTGTTTGCCACAGCTACTAATGTAAAACCAGCTACTTCTCCCTTAACCCAAAAATCTACAAATCACATCTCTCCTAAAAGTCAGTCCTCAGTAAACCACACCTTTTCATTTTCATTGTTTTCAGTTAGCGAAGTTAATAAATTGTAAAAGGTCTAGATTGTAAAAAATCTGCAGGCCCTGATGAACTCCCACCTTATTTCTTAAGGTTGGCTGCACACCTCATTGCAGAACCAGTGTCTCACGTCTTTAACCTGTCCGTCCATAAGCCAAAGCATTGTTCCAGACGCTTGGAAAACAGCCTTTGTTCTACCTTTACTGCTTCGTTGAAAGTTTTTAATGATGTTGTTGAAGCACTGGATGCTAAGGATTATTGTGCTGCACTTTATTTAGACCTGTCTAAAGCTCTTAACACTGTGGATCATGGCATCTTGTGTCATAAGCTCTCAGAAAATGGTTTCTCAGATTACACCATTAGTTGGTTCACTAACTATCTCTCAGATCGGAGACAATGTGTTCAACATAATGGCACATCTTCCAGTTATCCAACCGTTAACAATGGTGTACCACAAGGCTCAGTCTTAGGACCCAACCTTTTCACAAGCTATATAGGTAATGTAGGTCCGATCATCCCTGATTCAGCCTTACATTTCTACGCTGACGATTCAGTTGTTTACTGTCGAGTTAAAACAGTTGCTAAGGTTTTCCAGCTTTTGCAATCTGCTTTTGACATCATCCATTCAGATTTGTTCCATCTCAAACTGGTACTAAACGCCGACAAAACCAAAGGGATGTTGTTTTCAAACAGGAAGTTGATCCCAGCAGGCCTTACTTCTATTTTATTTTTAAATGGTGTTCCTATTGAGTTTGTCAATTCCTACAAATATTTGGGTATTTTGGTCGATTTACATCTTTCTTTTAAGCCCCACATCAAAAACTTGGTAAAGAAACTGAAAGTACAACTGGGTTTCTTTTTCAGAAATACAGTGTAGATTCTGTTTAACTCTGAATGCTAGGAAACACTTTGTAATTGCAACTTTCCTTCCCTCCATTGATTATGGTGACATTATTTACATGAACGCAACTATTGTTAGTAGGAGTGTTCATGTAAATAATCCACCTATGCTGGATAGAGAGCATCCAGCACCTTACAGATGCTGGATGCTGTCTATCATGGTGCGCTAATTAAGATTCATAACTGGCTATAATTACTGTACCCACCACTGCACCCTGTCTTCACTGGTTAACTGGTCATCATTAACTTCACATAGATGCTCTCACTGGTACAGTTTCATCTTTAAATCACTTCTTGGTCTGTTGCCTTCGAACATCTCCTCTTACATTTTACTATGTTAGTGCAGCTACAGCGTGCGCTCCCAGGACATAATTACATGCAGTGTTCCTGCAGTGCGGACTGAACTAGGCAAAAGGTCCGCTACTCCGCTCCTGTTTCCTGGAACACCTTGCAAAAAGATCTGAATATCGACCTTGACCTCTAAGTGGCTTCAAACATCTGTTAAGTTCATGGCAAAAACCAACGCAGACATTTTCCTTTTTTTAGTATTTTACATCACTTTACAATCTAGCTGTTTTTATTTCGTTTTTTATGTCATCTTCCATTTATTTTTTCAATTTATATACTTTCTTTTATGATTGTCTACTGTTGTCAGTGTTATCTACTGCTGTCATCATTGTTTGTTAGAAACAGGTCTCTCTTGTAAATGAGTCCTCGAGGCTCAATGAGACTAACCTGTATAAATAAAGGTTGAATCAATGAAAAGTTATTTAGAGTATATTTTTATTCCCACTGTGCTGTTTTTAGATATTTGTGTTTAAATTCTGTTTTCTTGTGTTTTATGCATCACCTGTTCAGTCTTCTCAGTGTTTTTTCCTTCATGTATTAATCTCCTGCTCCTCCTTCTCTCACCTGATCCCCGTTGTCTCTCCTCAGGTGCTTGTCATTATCTGTCATTAAATTCTGTATCGAGTTCTGTGGTGAGTTGTACCCCGTGTGCAGACAGATATGGGGGACTCGAGGGTAAAATACAGAAAGACGTATTTATTTACAAAAAAACACAAAAACAAAAGCTCACGTGACAGCAAAACTTACATAAACTCGGAACAGAACAAGATGGGCCGTGCGAAGCATAATGCACGAGCGGGGAAGAAACACTCGTATTGAACTTAAAGAAAAACTAATGAAAAACACCTGAGGAGAGACAATGAGGAGCAGGTAAGAGAAGGAGGAGCAGGAGCTTAATTACATGAAGGAAAAAACACAGAGGACTGATCAGATGATGAGTAAAACACAAAAACTACGGTGGCCCTGAGGTTTAAACCAACACCTCAGGGCCACTGTAAAAAACAGAACTTAACCACAAAGATCTCAAAACATAACACAGAGGGAATAAAAATAAACTCTAAATGACTAGCAGAAAACGCAGACTACGACAAAATGCCTGACTTTTAAGAAGGTTGACAATTTCAAGTATTGATTAAAAAAAATTATCAAACAATCTCCATGGATGGGTAAAATCTTTAACTCAGTCACACAAAAGAAACCGTAGAACATGAGAGATTACTGTAGATTTATCATCTTGGAAACATTTTGAAAGTTAAAACAACAGTGACTGGCAGATGACAGTCGTCCCATTTTGTGAATCAAACCTGCAGCTCCTGTCATTACTCTTTACCTCTCATTTGCTCTAAGTACACCGACACAAACGCTCACGATCCACTGTGCAGCACCACACTCTACAAACCACAAAAAGAGAGTTTGTCCAGTCCAGGTTTATAGATTTTTTTTTCCCAAGTCAGCACTAAATAACACAATCTGCACAAATGTCCGTGCATCTTCTTAACCCACTGAAAAATGCCAGGTAGAAGAAAGCAAAGGTGTATGGAGAGTGAAGAGCACTTGCTTTGACTGATTGAGGGGGCAGTCGTGGGCTTGCAGCACAGCAGCAGTTTGAGGAATCGCTGCTTTATGGTTTTTTTGCTTTGGCTGGTGGAGGGATTACCTGCAATCACCAACCACAGCATAAGAGTTAGAAGCACACACACACAGACACACACAGGCAAGCTCATTTCTTCACACACCTAAATAAAAAATAAATAAATAAATAAACAACATGCAACAAAAAGATACAAAAATGGTATAGGTGCTCTTTAAGCAATTTGGTTTGGCTCGGCAAAAGGAAACCATGAAGTTTTAGATATTTACAAAAATTACGAGTTGGATTTGATTATGTGGAAAAATTGACTCGTTTTTTCCACACTTTGTCACAACCAAACACTTCAAAGTATTTTGCTGTGATAAACCAGCATAAAGCATAATTGTAAAGGGGATACAATGTTTACAAAAATACAAATAAAAATCTGGTGTGTAGTAATGTGCTTTTATATTCAGCCATTTTTACTCTGATAGACCCTATAAGAGCTATAAGAAGTTATGTTTCCAGTCACTATCATGCAGTGGATTGGATACAGCAAAAATGTGGAAAAAGAACGTCAGATCAGAACAATATTGAACTTTATGGTTAAAATGCAAAACACTGTGTGGAGTGGAAAACTACTGAACACCATTCTGAATGCACTGCACAACGAAACACGGTGGCAGCACCATCGATGGGATGCTTTTCTTCAGCAGGAACATGGAACTGGTTAGAGTTGATGAGAACAGCTAAATAAAGGGCCATCTTGGAAGAAAACACATTGGAGATGGCAGAAGACTAAAGACTGTAGGGGAGGTTCACCTTCCATCAGGACAATAACCCTAAATATACAGCCAGAGCAACAATGCAAGGGTTTAAATAAAATATTATTCACATGGAACAACGGCTCAGTGAAAGTCCAGACCTACACCAAGTCTGTGACAAGTCTTGAAAATGGCTGCTCACAGACACACTCTGGCCAATCTGACTAAACTTGAGCTATTTTCCAAAGATCAAGCAAAACATTCAGCGTCTAGAAGTGTAAAGCTGGTAGAAACATACGTTCATATTGATAAAAGACCACCTGTCAGAAGAACAGCCTTCAGCAGAGCTCGTTACATCCAAGGAACCAGTATTGCTCAAAGCAATAAAACTTTGGAACATTTGCTAGAATGATGAGAAAACATCTATCAATAGTTTGTACATGAATCCAGGTACAAAGCGCCTGGTAGTTCCCATAGCAACCATTCCTTCATCCGTTAAGATCAAGTGGTTTAAGACAAAAGGCTATTTTAGGGTGAAAACCAAAAGAATGGTAGCATCTCTGACAGCTCAGCTTCTATGATGTGTCATCCCATTGTCTCCCTGCACCACAAACCCTCAGGGACCGAGCCCTGCTTGATCTGTGGCCTGTGCATTATTTGCAAACAGAGCAGGTGGAAAACAATGTTCTGAGTAAAAGAGAGTCACCCATCCATCTGTCCGACCCAGGCGCAACCCTTGTCTCCTGCAGGGCTTTTGTTTAGGTAACTAATTTATCTTTTCTTTTCCTACAGAGACAAAAGAATGAAGCACATCCCTGAAATCAATATCAGATACCTTAAAATTTAACCCAAGTGTCTGTAACATGTTGGCGATTATGCAACTAAAATAAATTGTTGTCTATATATGCCACTTTGTAACCTAAATCTGCATTACTAGACAGACTTGTTTTATCAGCCTCATAACTTATTTATGCTGTTTTATTATGCATAATGACAATACATCACATTTTATTTAAGTTTATTCATTTAAACTTGCTTGAAATATCGACACAATAGCAATCCTGTTAAGAAGTTACTGAGTCAATAAAGCTCATAAAGATTAGAACAGAACAAAAACAATGAGAAATCACATTCAAATGTAGTAAAGCTTTTAATTATTCAGTTGCTGTTCTACTGAGTGTTTTGCAAACAGTAAAAAGAGACAAATGGAAGAAAAACAAAATTATTATTTTTGTAATTTTAACAGTTTTGAGGTGCACTGAGCTGGAAATCCTTTTAAAGTTGAATCAAATGAAAACTGTCAGCGATCAGGACCAAAGATACAATTTCCTTTGTCACTGTCTCAGAGCCCACTCTCCATCTCCTCGGTTCTGTCACTGTATTTTTCTCTCCCTATCTGTCCGTCCTATGAACAGATTGTCAATTATTTTGGTACATTCTGAGAAAAAGCTGAGCTACTGATATTCCTGGAAGTATTATGATACATTTCCTCTGTAGTCTTTGTAGTTATTATCAATTTATTTATTTGATTGGTTGTGATAATGTGAGCAGAAAAGCCCAAATGATTTTTTTTTTCTGTGTGATCTTTTGCTGTTGTGAAGCATTATAACGCTCTTTGTCATTCAGCATGCACTGTAGTGGTGATTCTGCAGAGTTCCTGCTGAGGATTTTTTTTATGGTCCATCACGACTCATGAAATGCAAATAAGAGGCTTTTTTTTTTTTTTTAGCTTGAATGTACTTTTTTAAGCAATAAGTAAAATTTGCAAAAACTTAGCATTTTAAAAAGTGTCTAAAATCCAAAGATATTGAATTTCTCAAGTTGGCTATGTGTTGTTTTTTGCGTTTGTCTAAAACTATTCTACCTTAGTTTACAGCTCGCCGTCAAAGGTGGAGTGATATTTGCTTGTGTCTGTGTATTCGTTTTAATGTGTTAGCAAAACATCTCTTGAATCGCTGAATGGAAACTGTCAGAAGGTAATGACCCAATTCAAGATGGTTGCTACAGAAAACTGACCTTAGAAAACACACAAACAGCTATAACTCAGCTAAGTTTAAAAACACTGAGCTCAAAGTCGGGTGTGGTGTTTGTCACAGTCGAAGGAAGGTTCTGATCCAGAATACAGACTAAATGAACCAAAAAAAAATAACCAACAACTTTATTTAAAAATAAAACAAAAAGCTGATGGGTAGCAAAGCTTAGACAACTTGAAAAAGGGATCACAAGGGCATGAGGAACACAGGAAGACAACCCAGACTGTAGCATAATGCTAACAATACAATGCCAAGATGGAGGTGGAAAGAGACAGAATGTAAAGGGTTAAGGATGAATGGGAGATTGGCTGCAGCTGAGACTAACAGAACGTGGAACAGGTAAAGTGGGCGTTTAGAGCCACACAACTAAATGAGGGCCTGGGAAAGACAGCACAAAGGAACACACAAAAACTAATGCAACAGAGATAAACCGATCATAAAAACATGATTAATGGAATTACTCTTAATATAAACTAAAGAAACTACCAATAAGTAACCAAAAAGCATTGATCATAACAGGCACAGCTGGAGCTCCACATTGTGCAACATCTTTGCATAAAACCTTTGCAATAAATGCTGGAGTTAATCCTCTTTGTTAGCAAAATATCTCATTAACCAATGGACTGGTTGCATTGAAACTCTCAGAAAGTAATTATTGGTCGTGCATCTACAACAGCTAAACTTTTGGACTTAAAACAATTCAAGATGGCCGCCACAGCTAATTGAAACGAGTGTACGCCAAAAAAAAAAAATTGGCCATACCAGAATACTACAAATAATGAGCTAAAAAGCGAGTAGTAGCAACTGAATCATCATGTGCACTCACGGATCAGGCAAGATCACAAGGAATACTGCATGAGCATATTGTTCTTTTCAGAATGATCTTAGTCCAGATCCTTGGCATGAAAGCTGGTGGGTGACATGCATTCCTTTAAGGAATGCTATGGAATTATCTAATTAGCTTAGTTTTTAGCCGCAAAACTAGAAAACAATTAAAAAAAAAATGCTCAAAGTAAGTATAGCACAGACTATTTGACTGGCAAGTGTTTACAGTATTTTAATGTAGACTCACAATCTGCTAAGCATGCCCCCATGGTGCACATTTCACTGCCAACTTGCTCCAAATGGACATTTACTCAGGATCTGGATCACTTTTGCACAAACATTGAAGATGCCACTGAATCGTCACTGAGCATCACTGAATTTTTAGGTAGCATCATTGAGAGAAGTATCACCATGGTAACACTCCCTCCACCCCACTTCCCCTCACAGAAACCGGAGGAAAAACTTGTTGCAAAAATGGAAGTTCTCGTCTTGAGGTTTCCATCAACATTAAAAATAAAAACATGCCCGAAGCTTTCCCGGTGCATGTAAAGTAGGATACGTGTGCCAGGCTGGAGAGAAGAACGAGTTGCAGTGTTCCAGTGGAGCAAAGCTGCTTTTTAAATACACCGCCCTGCCTGACGAAAGCTTTTTGACTGGTTTTGGAAAAGCTCTTTACGTTGAATAAACTGATTCAAAAGAACTGAAGTGTTTTAAATTAATTAACTTGATTATTTCCAGATTTATTCATTTTTTTGTGTGTGTGTGTGAAGATTTGCACTTTTAGGGAATGATGATGACTTTTTAGATTTTCAAATTAAAATTCTGAACTTTAGACTGACATTCCATACGAAACCAAACACTCAAGCAAATGTGGGGAGGTGGAATGACAGATTGCTTAGTGATGAAAATGGACTAAAACAGACCCCCCCCCCACACACACACACACACACTTCTCTATGCCCACTTTCTGTCAGGATGTGATATAAATTTCCTGACAAACTCAGCGCCTCTTTCCTTTGCTGTCTGAACACTTCTCTTACCTGCCACAGAGATGTCGATGAGCCCCAGGAAGTGCATCAGTTTGAGGGAGCTGCAGACCACCAGGAGGATGCCCACGGTCTGCAGCCCCTCCACCTCCCACTTGTCTTGGAAGAACAGATGCATCCTTTCCTCTCTCCTTTCCCTCTGCTTGTGTGCACACACTTGCCTCGGGCGACACTGTTCGCACCCCCTCCACGTCAAGTTTTAAAGTAGAAAGTCACCGTCTCCTCAGTCCCCCTCTATGTGCCAGTGCTCGGCCATCCCAGCTACGTGCAGATCCCCGCCTTTTAACGCCGAAGGTGGATTGTTATTCCTCTTGTTTCTTCTTCCAGAGTGGCAAGAAATATCGACTGGCTTGTTTGCTCCTCCACCCCTGGCTCAACCGAACCTGTCAAAGCTTGTTTAAGTTCCAGCTGAAGTTCGG